GGGGGTGCGGTGCAGGGATCCCTCTGCTCCAGTTCAACTGAGAGCCCTCTAGATGCTCAATAGTACTGTACCTGAGCATGGCACATCAAGCCAGTGTCCCCAGGGGAGCCATTCTCTGGAGCCAGACTAGCCAGGCTCAAATCCTAGACCATTGCTAGACGGTGGCTTCAATCAAGAGACTTAACCTCTTTGAGCCTCATTTGTTCAGCTCTAAAATGTGTATAACTATCCCTAGCCTGGCGCATAGTAGGCACTTCTCCAGCGATTGCCATTGTTACCGTGATCTCTCCAGCCTCATCCCCCAGCCCTTCCCTCCACAAACATACCCTCCAGTTGCCTGGAGGTGCCCCCTTTGCCCTGCTTCCCTGCTTCCCAGCATTGCATATACCAGTCTTGCCAACCTCCTCTCTCATAAACGCCAACCCAGATCTTGAGACCCAGCTTTGGCGTGTCCTCCTCTGACCCATCCAAACAGGGCAGTCCTGTCCCCCTCTGTGCCTGTGAGAGGTTCCATTACACTGCTGTATCTATGTGCTGACATGTCTGGTTCCCCTGGAGAGTGTGAGAGACCCTGGTTCCCATCTCATCTGCACTCCCAGTGCCTGGCACTTGGAAACATTCATTGAATGTCTGGGGTGTGAGCGCAGGTGGACACATGAGGGTGGGCCTCTGGGCTTGCTGTCCTCATGCGTCTGGTCTCTGCCCCCTTCACCCGGTTCACAGACCTAGACTTGGCTGTGCCAGAGACGGTCAGACTGGACAGCAGTTTACACAAAGCCCGGGCCCAACTGCTGGCCAAGGGCCGTAGACATCGGCCTTCCCGCTCCAGGCTTCGGGACAGTGCCAGCTCTGCGGAGGATGGTGAAGGCTCCGATGGGCCCGGAGGCAAGGTTGGGGCAACCCACCCAATCACACATACCCCACCCACCCTTCTTGCCCCTGGAAGGTCCCTCCAACCCCTCTTCCCAGGAGACCACAGCCCCCAGGCTTCTGACATGATAATGCTCACACACTTTAGCTGCCTTCACTTCTGGCTCATTTCATCCTTTCAAGAAAGAGATTGTCATCTCCATCTTACAGATGAGAAAACTGAGGCTCAGAGGTTCCCTAACAAAGTCACACAGTAATTGAAGGAGGTGGGATCCAACCCCAGCCTATGTGACTGAAAGCCTGTTTCCCACCTCTCTCACTGCCCAGCCACCCCTCCGCCCCGCATGGGGAAACCCTCCCTCCAGGCCCCCGAGAGACCCAGGAGTCCAGGCTCCATGCCTCAGAGGCTCCGGTGCAGTTTCCAGGGTGAACCTGGCTCCCAGCCCCTCCGGGGAGCGGGGAGGAGGGATGGCGGTGAGCAGCTGCCCTCTCCCGCAGGTGACCGACGGCTGCGGGAGCCCCCTGCACCGGCTGCGCTCGCCTTTGCACTCGGGCCCAGGGTCTCCGGCCGTGGGCTCTTTCTGCCTGGAGCCTCCGGGGTTGCGGCGCAGCCTGGATGAGGACGAGCCGCCACCGTCGCC